GAGTTATCTTTTCACAGGGGGGTAAGATACACTTTAAATTAAATGTTCTATCTGTGTAAAATTACTTTGTTTTCCATTTTTGGAAAAAATAAATAAATAAAACAAGGCARCAAACATATATCAATACCATGGCTTCAGCTCCCACTCAATTTCTTATTTTAATTGAGCACTAAGCACGACTTTCTACTGCTTTTTTATGCAAATACTCATGTGCCCACTAAAGGTTATGCTTCAGTAAGCCTGCAKTCATTACAATGATTGTAGTGCAAATGAAATTGTCGTGATTAAAAAGCAATTTCAAATCGTTCACATTAACAATGAGAAAAACAAGGTTAACACCAACATTAAAGCTTAGTGGATACTTATAAACGTGGTGGCACCTATCAGGGTAAAATTTGACTCTAATCAAAACATATTTAGATTCAACTATACAATAGTRCCTGATCATACACATTTATATGCTTGATGTCTGGTATATTGTTTGGTTYATTTCTTTTATGTGCTGAAATAAAATCTTAACAAATGAATCAAAATATATTCACTGTGAACTATTTAAAGGGATTTGTACACATCAATCTGTCCTGCACATTTTTTAACAAGGTATCTGCTCAAAAATAAGATTTAAAGTCGAATACACTTTTGTTTACTGTTAAAGAATGCTTTACAGTATTGGTTTAAATTGCTTTAGGAAAGGAAGTGGACAAACATATAAAATTTTTTTTAATTTAAAATTCCTTCAGATTGTGTCTGAGTTTACAAAAACCTTTTTTAAGCAGATTTTATAACTTCTGATTACTTGGGTCGATCCCATGATAGCAAATTATACATTATGTGATGAAATAAAGTCCAACTTTTTGAATCATTTTTTCAAAAATTTCTGCCTGACATTTGGCTGAAGCCATATTACTCACAGAGATTTAAAAGTTGAAGTACAATATGTCCCCCTCATACCAAGATGTTGTTTAAATGGCCTCACCAGTGGAGTCTTTCTTGTGGCCCATTTCAAATTGGATGCCTCGGTAAAGTTCCCTGGAGATCAGTCCATAGGCAACAATCATCACCACTCCTGGAATGGCGAACAGTACAAGCAGAAGGAAGACATACCTACAAGAGACACAAGAGGGAAATCCTGATGGAGGAGTGAACAGACCAGTGGTGCCCAATTGTCCTTGAGGGCCATTATCCTCTATGTTTTAGACGTCTCAGCTTTAACGCACCTGGTTTGATAAAATGTGTGATTAACAGCTTCTGCAAAACTTGAATACACCCTAAAGGGATGAGTCAATCAATGAATCAGGTGCACTGGAGCAAGGAGACAATATGCAGGATAGTGGCCCTTGAAGACCAAGTTTTAAAAACACTGGAAAAGTTAAGATAAATACAAAATATATTTGATGGTCAAATCATAGCATTGTCTTGTTTTAAATCTTGACTTCACACAAACATTTATTTCCACATTTTTTAATCCACATAGGAAACATCTACAAATTGTGTGTTTTGCAAATGTTTAATACTAATTAACATATTTTTATATGTTAAAACAATATGCTCAAATTAAATTTTTTATTTATTAATTTATAATTTTTGGGGGGTGTCTGTATTTGTTTGACTGTGCAGAAA